TCTCTCTCTCTCTCTCTCTCTCTCTCTCTCTCTCTCTCTCTTGTCTGTGAGCGTGTTTTTGACAGCATGTTTTGTCTTATGGCGATTCTCATCACGTTGGTTGTGTTCCTGGTTCTCTTCGCTTCACCAAGGAAGTCCAGCAGGAAGCCCAACATCTACGGCATTAAGGTCCGGCGCATATTCTGTCCATCTTAGGGAAAACGCGTGGTGTGCCCCCTCCCCGCGTTGGGGCTATCAATAGATGCAAACAAAGTTCGCACTGGAAGTATTATAATTTGTAAAAGCATGACTTTTTCTTTTTTTAAGAAAGATCTATCTCTGTCGATCATCTCCAGTACGGTAGTAGTAGTTATCGATCCGTACATCCGGGCGTAGGACCTCATCCGCGCAAGCACGGATTCGAACCGGCGCCCTCAGCCTCAAGAGCCAAGTCTCTTAAACCACCAGTACCTTTCCGGAGGCTTTCCCGTATATCGGCCGCGGGCCCCTCACCGCGACTTTCGGCGGCCTGAAATGCAACGCCGGCCGCCGATGGCATTCATCAACGGCGGCCCGGCCCCGAAAGTTGCCCGTGTTAACCGGCGCCGCGTGTTTGTTTTTCAAGCGGGGAAAGTTGCTACTGGTTTAAACCGCTGCAGCCGGGACACGGTGTCCAAAAGTGAAACCATACAGGTAAATGAGCTTTCTGTCCTATACAGTGTACATTGTACACGCTTATTACACGAACACTAGGGGTGGTCGCGGAGGGTGACCGTGGAGATAACGATGATAATGGAAGCAGATTATGACGATGAAGAGGATGATGATGATGACGGCCACACTGACAAGGATGATGACAATGACAACAGCAAGACCAAGATGGTTTGACGATATTGAGGACGACCACAACAATGACATTGCAGCAGCCGGAGACGGCGAACGAAGAGGAGGAGGATGCAAAGGAGAGGGAGGAGGAGAGGGAGGAGAGGGGGGGGGAAGCAGGAGTGGGGGAAGGAGGCAGGAGGAAAGGCAAGAGCTGTGATCCCAGAGCTCAAAAAAAAAAAAAAAAAAAAAAAAAAAAAAAAAAAAAAGAAGAGAGCTCAACCGAATCACAAATGATAAACCCATTGGTCACAAAGAGGACAAATGCAAGTAGATCACTGTCGATGCCTTTACTTCCTGCCTATGGATCTTGCGCTCTTTCCGCTTCTGCGTATTCTTACTCTCCTACTGTCGGGAACCCCCAATTTTCGGCCACAAGCGGTTATCGGGAACCCCCAATTTTCTCCCACAAGCGGTTATCGGGAACCCCCAATTTTCGGCTCTTGGGTAATGGGTTTAAAACTTTGGGAGTAAAATTTTATGTTCTCTTAACTTTTTAACTTTCAAGTTTTTAATTTTTTTTTCGCCTGTTTTTGTTTTGGTTCAAGATTGCTGTGTGCCAAATTTGGTGTCCTTCGGACCATTGTAAACTACTTTGCAACCAACTGGCCTAGCTCAGTGGGGACCACACCCATGAACTGGTGAAATATGAATCAGACCCGAGTTCGAACTCCAATGGAAGCAGATGAGTAAAATATTACAATTCCGAATTACCTAGGGCTGGTTAGTTCGATCATGATATCTTTTCACTTTTTCTTTTTTGGAAAAAAAAGGCAAATTCTTTAAGCCCAACCAATTCTATTACCTGTAGAATCTGGACAGGACGGCCTTTCAGGCCTTTTTGATTGTCATTAATACCTCATTATCTAGGCTACCAGCCGGGCCGCCCGGGTCCCGGGTGGCCAGCCCTTGCAAGGACCAGGGAAGGTCCCAGCAAAAAATAATAATAATAATAATGATAATAATAATATAATAATAATAATAATAATAATAATTTTAAAAAAAAATAAAAAAAAATCCGGAAACAAACTATGTTATGCAGAAAAATAAACTGAACAACTTTTGCCTCAGGGTCACATCAGAATTCTTCACCAAATTTAGAATCTAGAATTTTTTATTTTTTATTTTTTTTTCCCCGCCCGGCCGGGCATATGACCCCGGGCCACTCTGGTAGCCTAGCTCATTATAGTATTCCGAGGAACTCCCCCGTAGCAGCCGCATCCATGCTCAAACCTCCAACAAGGGAACATGCGGAAGCTGCACCCAGTAGCAGATGCGATACCTGCTACAGCAGGTTGGGGGCATCGCCCTTTTTAAAACTAAAATTAAAACATTAAAAAAAAAAAAAAAAAAAAAAAAGCTGACGCCTGACACTACCCTGAAATTTCTGAAATTTTCTGGAATTGGAGTGTTGGCAGAATTTGCAGGAAAGTGCATTTTTGGCTTGCAGTTTAAAAGAGGGTGGAGGGGGGGGGGAGTTGTTCTTTTCTTGCTGATAGTTAATATGGTGTCCACTGTCCACTCTATGAATTGCTGGTGGCAAGCTTGGTTAAACCACCAGTACTTGGCCCATCGATCGGCCGCGGAAAAAAACATCATAGAAACATTTCTACTTGGATGAATTTGGGCGCCCCTGAGTCGCCCGTACGTTTCCTTAAATTGTGGCTTATATACGGGCACGACTTCCTAGGAAGTCGTGCCCGTTAACGCTACGTGATTTTAGGAAACGTACGGGCGACTACAGGGGCACCCAAATTCATCCAACTAGAAACGTTCCTACTCTATTTTTTCCCGCAGCCGATAGCTGAGCCAAGTACTGGTGGTTTAAAAGAGCCTTTTGGCTTTTCTTATAAATGGCATGACAAGCTAACTGAAATTTTAGGCATCCGTTACCGGTCAATCATCTCCTCTCTCATTTCTCCCAGCATTTTATTTATAATTCAATTCAAATTTCAAGCTGGCAAAGAAAAGACCAGAAAACACGCAGACTGACACAAAAGGAGAGAGAATGTGCTCTACCAGTAGTCATTATTTGTAGACGAGGAACACTGAAGTAGACTAGGGCGCAAAAGACCGGAAAGGCCCAGGAAAAGGAAGACCAAATTCAGCCATTGAAGTTTCCGAATTTGGACGAAAAGTTTGTTGTTGTTGCAATCATATCGAAACTTAGACTCGAACTTTGAAGTTTTGAAGTTTTGAAGTTTGGCTTGAAAAGTTTGTCGCAATCATATCGAAACTTGGACGCTCGAATTTTGAAGTTTTGAAGTTTTGAAGTTTGGATTTTCTTGAAAGCTAGCCTACCAGAGTGGACCACGAAAAAGGAAAAAGCCAAATTCAGCCAATGTCACACTCATTTTCTGTTGATCATTACAATGGAGTAAAAAAAATATAACAATGACAATTCTATTCTCCACCCCCCCCCCCCCTGCTTTTATGGCTTGCAATGAATTGGTGTTTTGCAGGGCTATGATAAGTCCGCGGTGTTCAGAGGTGTTTTCACCTTCATCATGGTTTCAGGAGTGATCAGTTCAATTGCCGGTTTGCTAGTCAGTCATGTTGTTCCACGATCATACGCACGGCATCTCAGCGAGTTTCTGGACATTGCCGCCCTCAGCTATAGCTGACAATGAACTAACTCAACCTGACAGAAAACACCTCTCTCTCTCTCTCTCTCTCTCTCTCTCTCTCTCTCTCTCTCTCTCTCTCTCTCTCTCTCTCTCTAAAGTGCATGTGTGCACAACGACACTGAACAGGGTGACTGTGAAAGACTGCTCTGCCGTACTTTCACCACCTCGTGCATGAGGTTGTACCTTCACATTGTTCCAAGGACGCATTGGGGAGATAGACAAGGACTCCCCACCATTCCCAAAGTTGGAGATATGTTTGAGAAAGGTGGTAGACTTCACAAACACCAGCCCCGCTAAATTACCAGACTGTCTAGTTCAAACCCTTTGTATCTGTGTGTGTGCGTGTTATGTCCGCTATCCACAACACCGTCTGTATCTGTCTGTGTGCTGTCATGTTCTCTCTATACACAACTCCACCAAAGACGCACGACTGTACCAGACTGTTCACTAGTCGACTTCACCGACACCGCGACCCTGCAAATCTGGCAGACCATCTAGCTTGAACCCTCTGCGTGTGTGACTATACGCAACTCCACAAAGAAAGCACGGCCGTGCCAGACTGGCTTGCCAGAGTTGGGAATTTTGGTCATGTGGATCTTGTATGTTGCCTTTTTTTTTTTTTTTTTTTTTTTTTTTTTTTTTTTTCCTTTTTTTTTTTTTTTTTTTTTTTTTTTTTTTTGGAAACCTTGACGAACTTTTGCCTAATTTCTTGTCGGTTACAATGCATAAGCTTATAACGGAAAATATTTTCAATTGTTGGTTTACAGTTTGAAGATATGGTTGGTCGTAAATTTGGAGAATTTGCTTCTACGCATAAAAAAAAGGGCTGAAGAAACCAGTCCATGACTTAACATGAGTAAAATACTACCTTCAATTCCTTGTATATATATTCAATAGAGTGAAACTTCCCCACTGAGCAAAACATGCCAGCGGTACTCGAGTCCTCTCCCAACCGTACGAAATAGTCACCTATCGTACGGCTCTCTATTCTACTTGCTTCGCAGTTCCAGTCTTCGAGCGAGTGAGTTGAGTGAGAGACCGAAGTAAATAAAAGAAAACGCAAGAGCGGCCATAGGATCACGTATACAGACGATTTATTTTTAGAATTGAATTAATTTTGCCAGATTACGGAATACATACATACGTATATGACCTTTCCCGGAGAAGGATTGAGTTTGTGAGCGAAGTGAGACCCGTGACATTGTACTCAAATCTATATGTCCCCTGACTCAGCTGGAGGGAGGTTGACCCCCGACAGTCTGCCCACAACGATACATTCGCCAGAGTTAGCCATACCCCTGACAGAGAAAAGGGGTCGACTTGAATCAGACACACCAAGGGGTCAGCTTGAATCACACCAAACCTGCAATCCTAGCAGAGTGCCAGTTTGGACCCCTGACAAGAATGGCGGTAAGCCTGTGTGTGGGTGGGTGGGCGTGCATGTTTTGTCACGTTCGCTACGCACAACTGCCCGAGACTGTTTCGCCGGGCTTCCACCTTTTCATTCACGAAGAGATTGAACCTCTTTAACAGTCTGCCCAGGAAGCATTCGACTGAAGGATAAGGAAGGCATCACCACATCACCCACAGTTAACGACCATTCGACTGAAGGATAAGGAAGGCATCACCACATCGCCCACAGTTAACGGCCCTCGATAGAGAAAGCTGACCTTGGTAGACAGGGAAAGCGGACGACTTTCCTCCTACCAACCTTCGCAGTGTGTACTGTCATATTCCCTATACACTCAAAAAAGACATGACTGTGCCACTGTTCCACCGGACTTTCACCGACTCAACAAGGTGTGTGTGTGTGTGTGTGTGTGTGTGTGTGTGTGTGTGTGTGTGTGTGTTTTGTGTGTGTGTGTATGGAAGTGCGGATATGTGTTTGTCATGTTCGTCATAGACAATGCTCACTACAGACAACTCCAGTGAGTGGTGGGATGACGTACTGCGGAAGGATCATATACCCAAAAAAAAAAAAAAAAAAACAGAAAAGGATGACGTACTGATAGCCGTGGAGTGATTGGAAGGCATGGATTTTTTTCTTTTGAAAGGCCAATTTTAAATTTTC